TGGCGACTTAAACAGTCGCCTCCGCAGGAATAGTCTCATAGTTAAGGGTCTGCCCGAACAAGAGCCTCAAGCATGGGATGATACAGAGAGGAAGGTTGAGACATTTTTCTCTACACACTTAAAAGGAAACTGAAGCGGTTCTGTATTTAAGAAAAAAACACTTCAATGGCCTTCATTCGGTTTCCAGGATCACGAATGTCGAGTTCATTTTTCAACTCGGTGCACAGAGGCTGCATAAATTAATTTTTAAATTACCGCCGAAGCCCCTCCTTTCTGGGGCGTGACGTCACACTAGCAGTTTTCGGAATCTGCTCTATCGCATCTTCAGCGCCTGTCAGAGCTATGCACGCGCACTCTTGCTATTTTCAAAAAGGTCAGAAAGAGACGTCATGGCTGGGGTCAGTGCGGAAAAATATACCTGTCAGGCAACGTTATTAGATTAGCTCAGTTACGGAACTGCTCATAGGCGCCGCATACACGAACAGTACCCCCCCCCCCTCACTCACCACGACTCACCAAGCGTCGCTCGATGCGCCGCCAGACGACTGCTTTGGTAACGTAATCAGGATACGTACGTTTCAACATTATAGAAACGTAAAAACCGTAAAAACCAACGGAAAAAAACTTTTTGTAGTAACTTTTATTGGAGTTCAGTACAAAGGGGGGGGGGGGGGGGCGTGATGTTTCCTAAAATCTTTAGTTTGCAAGGTTTTGCAATACAATTAATATTGTTTTCATAAAACCATGCCTCAGCGGAGGTTTTAGGTAGCGCGTCCCGACCTAGGCTAATCTTAACTTCGGGGTCGAATTCCCGGCACGCCCGCTGGGGACACGGGGTGGTATCCCTGTGACCCTCTCCACTGTATCTGTTTCGGCTCCGAAATGGCCGATAGAAGCCAAAATAGATGTTACGTGTAGTTCCTTGAGTGACCGCTGCAGGGTAAATGGCGGCGTTGTGATCGCCATTTGGTGCTTCAGTCAGCTGGGCTCTTCGGAACGCATAGTTATGAAACGAAAATATAGATGGCGCTTCGATCGACGCTTGGCGGAGTGGGGTGAGTGAGGAGGGGTACTCCCCTCCGCGGGAGTTCCACAACTGAGGTAATCTAATAACGTTGCTGTCAGGCTTGCGATCGCACGCCCTGCCCACACGTGCGGCACGCGCTTAGCGGCCCAAAGATCCCAGTATGACGTCACGACTGGTCGGAGGTTTTTCGTGTTTCCTCGCGTTTAGTTACATGTCCGAGGAAAATTAACGTGATATTCAGATTCACGGGATAAAAATACGCCAGAATTCACCTCTAACTCGTTTTTTTTCAAGAAGTATGTCAGCTTCTCTTTATACATAATTGTCGGAGAAAACTTGAGCCTGCTCACCGACTTGGACCCCGCAGACCCGGATTTAACCACCGGATAATTATAAAATTCCTCAACTACAAAAGCAAGAGTGAGGTCTTGGGTAGTGCGTGCAATCTAAAAAAACCTGACACCGCCTGAAGTATGGGTCGGAGGTGACTTCTCACCTAAAATGCAACTCATCCGCAAAAGACTGAGGGACATCGCAAGGCTGAATAAAGGCAAAAGCACATACTGGCTCTCCTACGACAAGCTTTTTCTTAACAATGCGGTTTAGAAACGTGATTCTAACGACGGACAGGATGTGCCCTGTCAAAATCATTACTCTTGGAACGTTACCAAGCGGCAGCCTTTTCAAATCTAGTGTCGTTGAGAAGTTTGGTCAGCTGTCCTTTCTTGTCGCCAACTTTCGGAGTCTAACACCGAAACAGGATGACTTACTCCCTTTTATTGATATATGTTCCGCTGACGTCATTTTGGAAACTGAGACATACCTCAGCTCAGACATGGCAAATTCAGAGTTGACATTTGCAGATCTGTTTTCAGTCTATCAAAAGGACCGGTTTTACTCCAGGGGAGGGGGGCGGGGGTTATGAACGCCGTAAAAACGTGCATCCCATTGTCATTTATTCCGGACTCCAAGGCAGAGTTTATTAACCACTTAACAGAACTTGTAGACGATTTACAGTCTAAGTTCCCTAACACTCCTAGAGTCCTGGCAGGTGATTTTACCTATACTGGTATAGACTGGACAACAAATGAAGCTTCTGGCAACTGTACAAACAAGAGGGAATGCCTAAAAGTTCTTGAGATGGCGAGCTAACTAGAGGAGATTGTCCCAACCCCTACACGTGGAGATGCTGTGCTGGATTTAATTTTTACAACGCAGCCTGAGCACTCATCGGTTAATGTTATGACGAAATTAGAGATTATTGTGTTGTACATTGTACCTTCTCTTTATACGTTTCAAAGCGTGATATTATCGGGAAACAAAATTTTGATTAAAGGAGAGCAGATGAGAAATCTTTGATGCCAAGATTGTCTATGTTTTACACCTATTTTTTGAGTGGGTTTGATGAGCGTTTCGTAAATAGAAATTGGATGTTGTTTCGCGGCAAACTAATAAAGTTTTTGGCTGCCTGTATTCCTGTTTTAAACATAGCACCATGTCTACGTTCCCCATGGTTTACATCTAAAATTAAACGAAGTATCCAAAAACGTTTATATAAGCAAGCGAAGAGCTCTGACTTGGACCGCGATTGGACCTCCTATCATGCGTATGCTTTATGCTGCAGGAACTTGATAAAAGAGGCCAAGCAAGGTTTCTTTGACGCTGATGTCTCGGATATGCTACGGTCAGACTCGAAGAAATTTTGAATGGTTGTCAACCCGCACCCTGTAAGTGTGCTCCAGTGCTTTGGTTCTGGTGACACCTTGGTGAATCTCAGTTGGCCAATCAGTTCAACGAGTTTTTCAGCAGTGTTTTCACTGCTGAAGGCATTCTTTTTGATTCGACCATATCAGAAATATCAGTTGAAAGGAATTTGGAAGGATATTGTAATTTATACCTATGGCGTTATATGGGGTTATATGTACCATTGACCGACTCCCCACTAACTCTAGTCCTGGCCCGGATGGCATACCTACAAAGTTATTAAATCTAACCAAATAAATTTCTGTACCTCTTCTGGGAGGGCTGTTCCAACAATCAAACTCCATGAGTAAATTACCAGACGATTGGAAATATGTCACGGTTGTTCTTATACTTAAAACGAGAGATAAAAATTAATTTGACAACTACAGACCCATATCACACGCCTGTGTTTCCTGTAAACTTCTAAAACACAATATATCCCACCTGACTACCAATCAACTTCTTTTTATTAACCAGCATGGTTTTCTGTGTGGACGTTCATGTGAGACGCAGCTGTCTGCGTTGTTAAATTACCTTCATCATTTTGTTCACCTCTCCAGACACGTTGACGCTATCTTTATTGACTTTGCGAAAGCGTTTGGTTGCGTACCACATAACTGGTTGATATATAAGCTAACTAAACTAAAATTATCCACATGTGTTGTTAAATGGAATAAAAACATATTGGCTAACAAACGCAAATCAGTTGTGGTTGACAAACGCCTGTCTTTCATTTTTCCCGTGACGTCAGGTGCCCCGCAGGGATCTGTATTGGGTCCTGTGCTTTTTCTTATGTACATCGATGACCTTCACTCTAACACCTAATCTCGCACTCGTCTATTCGCGGACCGTCCCGTTATGGAACCTTACGATAGTATAATTTCCCAAGATGACTTGGACAAAGTTTCCAACTGGTGTGAAGCTGATGAAAATAAATACACACAAAACAAAAGCTATGACCTTCACCTCGAAACGACATCTCACTCCTCACACGTACTTCATTGGAAGTGACGCCATTGAAAATTTCTCATCCTTTAAATACCTTGGCGCTCATCTCTTATGTGACCTCACGTGGAACCTAAAGGTAGTAAAACGCTTGACTATAGAAACTCGTGCCTCGAGGAGACGAAGAGGAAGGTGTTTTCCCGTAAGTCCCCGCAGCGTCATGACGAGTGGGTTTAATTACTCTGGAAAGCTCTCCAACTTCACCCCGGAGCAAGGCGGTCACGGGACAAAGAGACCGATTCAGTTTGTCCAATAAATTTGGCGGAAAGAACTGAAACATAATTCAATCGCCTCACTACAGTTGTTTCAGATAATCATATTCGCACACGATTTCAATCGCATTGATCGGGGAACTGTTGTTAAGGATGGCTCAGACAAAATGCCTTTTTTATTAGATATTCATTATGTCATGTTTCCTTTCGAAAGCCAATAGAGGTACTCTTAATGTGGAATGTTTTTCTGGGTGCCCTGGCCAGTTCTGCTGGTGGATTTATATTTCTTAATATTACTATTAAATACATGCCAGTGGAACACCTTTACCTAACCTTGTAAAGAGGCTTGTATCCTCTTTAAAACAACCACCTCCAGTTTTTTTTTCTCGTCATACACTTCATTTTCCTGTTACTAAACGTTTGTTTTATTTACACCTGCCCAGTTTGTTTTAATACTTTTAGGCGCTCAAAGTGTTTAGATAAATGCCATCATGGGTAGCACTATGTTGCATGTTATGGGATAAATATTTCTAATATTCAATGCTTGGAATAATATAGTTTTCGTCGTGAAAATTGTTTCACTGTTTGCAACTCTGTGGAATAAAGACATGGAACTTTCAAGTCTGTATGAATTAGCCATTTTAATGCATGGTTACCGGATCTTCCAGCATCTGGTAAACATCCACTACCCATGATTCCCTGGCTCGCCCTAAGTGCCTTCCGATGAGGTCCGAAAAAAAAAAAAAAAAAAAAAAGCTTCTGATGCATTCTGGTGAATCCCGGCAAATCCAGTCACGTATAGTGTTTTCCGGTGAATCTAGGGAAATCCGGTGGCTTCTGGTAAATTCTAGCGATTTCCGGTAAATTCAGGCCATTCTGGAAGTGAAAAGAGGCCCATAATCCAGTAAAATCGATACTGTACCGGCAATCATTTCTCGGCAAAATATATTTTTCAATAGAGCGTGTCATGAGTCGTCGAATTAATCTGGATATTTTATTGTGTTTATCCTCAGGGATGGGGAGACGTTAGTTTTCACGGTTCCACCCAAATACCAACGCCAAATATCGATGTCCTGGCGGGAGATGGTGTCATACTCAACAACTATTACGTGATGCCGCTCTGCACTCCATCCAGAGCTGCCCTGATGACTGGGTTATATCCAATTCACACAGGTACAATATTGGCTTCCCCTTCTAAGCACATGAGTTCGGCTTTCATATAATGGGGACAATTTCTTTGGTTCCTGGCAAAAGAAAGTGATTGCTTACGTGCGTTGCGATTAGGTCAGCCATGTGTTTGTTGTGTCGCCTCTGCGCAGAGAAGCAGGTACTAAAAAAGCTTCACGTGCAACACTATGAGAAATCCTTGAGTATATACTGCTCCAGGATGCACCCCATTCAAGAATTATTGTATTCCGTTTAATCAGTTAAATCCAATATGAACCTTGTGCTGGGAGAAAAAAAAGAGTAGATATTGTTTTACCACCGAGATGGCATGAGCATTGGCGGCTTAATATGCTGCTAGCACTTTATATTAGCTTAGCCTGATTAAAGGAAAACCGATGACTGGTGACCCAAGTGCAACACCGAGTCTTATAATTGCAGGGGGCTCTAAGACTGCACTTACATTTTTCGGAACACTCAGAGATTGCCCAATAATACCAACTGCCAGCCAAGTTCCCTTAAACATTCAGACAAATCAGAGTAACAGCACCTACTCTATTAAACATAAAAATTTAGGGAAACACTTCCCCTTTTTCTAGAAACGTGTCCTAAACTTTTGCTATCTACTGAAGTCCCTGTTGCTATTCACTTTTTTTCAATGTGAAGAGTTTATTCATAGAAATATTTTAAATACATTGAACTTTCCTTAAATTGTTTCTACGCGTCATATCATTAGTCACGTTTTTTGTTGTTGTTTTTTTTTTCAGGCAGAGAAGCACGCAAAAAAGCAAATCATAAAGTTCTGCACAGTTCTTTAAAACTAATCAGTTTCTTTATTGTCTTAGGCATGCAGTCTAGCGTTATCCTGGACGCTGCCCCGTGGGGCCTACCACTGGAAATAAAGATCCTGCCGCAGCATTTCAAAGATTTGGGCTACGAAGTGAACATGATCGGCAAAGTAATCTTGAGTGATAATTATTCTTCGCGTTATATTGAGTTAGATTGTCGAAGAAGTAGAAGCGCCTGCGCGTGAACTGTCATAACATGTAGTGGACCAATTTTTTTAATAATGTCAAGCGAGCGTCGATCGCCGGGACGGCCAGCGCTTGTGCCGCGGAAAAATGCAGCGACACGGGAGAGATTAAGCGCGTGCGCACAAAGCCCTTTCTGGTGGAAGCGTCGTCTGCTAGGCTATTCCGTTGACGGCACACAGCCCCTATTCCATAGCAAAGGAGGGCAGGGCGCTTGCAATGTCGAAGTGCATCGCCGATACGGCCCTCTTCTTGAAATGCGTTCAAAATCCTATTGACGTTAGCCTGTGTAACCCCGACTGTTGTTTCTATATCCCTTTGCGTCATGCCACAATCGACATTCTCACGACGCGTTCCCGTGTTTTTATGGGCCCTGGAGGAGGCATAAAAGTGTGCGCGCCCTCTGGTCAAAAAAAATAAGAAAAAAACTGTGACTACCCGGCTACTGTCTACATAAGCTAGATGACGACAGCAACAACGCAGTTGATAACACAAAACACCAAGCCGAAGCGGAAACGCCGTCTATACTCCGTTTCACCTTGCACTTTGTGTTGTACCGCAGCCGACGCTGCGAGTTATCTTGGCCAGTCCATCGCTAAAAATGTGTCACGTGGCCTTCCCGTTAAGTATAACTGCGCGGGGAAGCACGATATCACGTGGCAGGGTAAAAGCACTAGATTGGTTTTGATGCCTCGTAGCATTGTCTGCGGTACATAGTTTCAATGCATCGTTGCATTAAGTGTGTCGCGTCACCGTATTTTTATTTCTGTTGGTGTCCACAAAAGTAAACGCAAACATGAAATTAACAAAAAAAGTAAATTAACCTCGAGATGACGCGCGGTTTACGCCACGCCGGTACAGTATCACGCAAGCAAGCGCTGTTCAGGGGGGCTAAGCTCGGCACGGAGGAGAGATCAAGGCGAGTTCCCCGCCAAACTCGCCGCCCGTCGCGATTGGTCGGCGCCGTGCATGACGACACGCGCCGTCACTCCCTAGGTCATGACGTCAGAACGGAGGGTTTGAGGCGGTCGGAGATTGGCCTATTCGGAACTCGCGGCGAGATGCTGTGTCGTCATTGTGACGTGGCAAAAGCCGCCGCGGATAGGAAAAGCTTGCCGGCTCCGACCTAGGCGAGTTTGGGCGAGTTGGGCGCAAGATGAGGGAGAAGCATCCAAAATGGCAGCGCATTCGTTCGTGTTTCGCCGTCGGCTTAGCTATTTAAGCCACGCCAATGTGTTTGACATGAACGACGTTTATTTCCAACAACACTATCGCCTCTCGAAAGACGTGGTAAGGTGGCTGTGCGATGAACTGCGTGGCGAACCGGGCTTGAGGCGATGGAGCCGTGAATGGACCGTCGTCCCCGTCGTGAATTCTACATACGAATTCTACTAAGTGAATTCTAGAGACAAATGTTTTTACGGCATTCTGCAATCAGAAACGCAATTTATCATTACCTACAGGCTTTTACAATTTTTTTTTGTTTGTTTGCTGCGCTGCGTGGATGCAAGATAAACGCACTTGATAAAATTGAAACTAAAACAGATGATAGAAGAAAAACAATGTACATGAATGACGCAGACTAACAACTGTGTAATTTCTTTTTCGTCTTTCTCCCTCCACACCGTATTTTGGCAAACAAATTGGTCGTTAGTTATTTATACAGCAGGAGAACATGCCAGAACATGGCGACATTGTCACCCCCTGTCGATAAGCAATTTAGCCAGTGCAGTACGACTGCTAGCCTGGTGTCTTTAACGTGCACCACGCAGTAGTGATACACGAACGCACGCCGGTACGATGTTCATTCAGATCGACACGTGCAGGGGTGGGGATTGAACCCAAGATCCTGGGTTCTGCAGCGCGAGCTTTCGCTCCACGTGCACCCTATTTTGAAAATATATTGTGGCAGTGTGGCGGTGTGGGGCTAGAAAAATGAGAAAGAAATTACAGAGTTGTTAGTCTGCGCCATTCCTGTACGTTGTTTTTCGTCTATTCTCTGCTTGAGCGTAAATCGTTATCAAATGCGTTTTTCTTGCCTCTACGCAGCGCAGCAAACCATCACAATGTATAACCACCTAGCCCATATGCATTTGTATAATTAGGATCCGTGCTGTTACCGATTCTTATTTGTCATTTACGATTTAAATAAAAAAAAATTGGGTTCTGTGTATGTTTTACAGCCTAAAATTTGGCCTGCCTCAACGGGCGATGATTCTCCCAGCTGTAGATGAGAAATTTAACCAGTGCAGTACAACCGCTAGCCTGGGGTCTTTAACGTGCACCACGGAGTTGTGAGTCATACACGACCGCGCGCCGGTACGTTGATCATCAAGATCCAAAGGGGCAGGGGTGAGGATTGAATCCAGGAGCGGAGCGTAGGGACAAATCGGAGCTACGCTGGGGAACTCGCCGCCGCCCGGGGGGGAGGGGGGGGGGGGAGGGGGGGGGGGGGTAAGAAATGTAAGAGGAAGAGTGGGAAACTCGCCGGGGCGGAGTCAGAAGAAGCTCCTCCCCTCACCCGTTACGTCGCATCGGAGAGATTCCCGCCAAAGGCGAGCTTAGCCCCCCTATCTTTGCTCAAAGGCGGTTATCTATGCCAGCAGATAATGAACAGGGGCTGTGTGGCCTAGCAGACGACGCTCGCAACAGAAAGAGCTTTGTGCGCACGCGTCTAATCTCTCCCGTGACGCCGCATTTTTCCGCGGCACAGCGCTGGCCGTCCCGGCGGTCGACGCTCGCTTGATAGTATTAAAGAAATTGGGCCACTGTAGATAGAGCACCAATAGTTTTTCTTTCTCATGGAAGTCGTATTTGTGTTTTCGCTGATTATTTTCAAAAGAACAAAATAAGGATATACAACTGTTAAGCCACGAATTTCAGAATATCGGTTATAGCAGCGTAAAGTTGCAGGCTTAGTTGGTCTTTGAATTAATATAATTATAATAATAATACCTATTTATTTTCTTTTATTATGATGGCGCACCATCATAGACGATGTAAATGAAGTTGTATTATTATTATATCAATTCAAAGACCAACTATGCCTGCAACTTAGGCGCATATGGTGTTATAGCCGATATTCTGAAATTTGTGTCCCAATATTTATACACTTCTTTCTGTCGTTTTGAGAAAAAAAAACGACAACAAAAAGTTGCATTGTGCCGCTTGACTGTTTCTTAGTTTCCTACAGTTGTTAATGGAGAGCGTGTAGGAAATACAGAAAAAAGTAATGCACACACACAAAAAGCAACAATTGGAACTCACATGACTACGGATTCTAACCTAGCAAATCAACAAAACAAAGACAAAAATAGAAATCACATGGAAAAATACAAACGAAAATGTTTAAACGCTGTAGTAAAAACCTACATTATTTACATAAAAAAAAAATGTTTAACGAATGAGGGAGTGCAAATTTATGCATTTGAAGTCCATTGTTCGCTGAATTGTCATCCTCCACTTATCCACGCAGCGAGTGGGATGCGCTGGTAAATTTTCCTCAAGAGACGCAAAGCACTTTTTGTTTTTTGCTTTAGCTTTTTTTATTTTTTTTATCTTAAAACAGACGACATAGTCTATATTCATATAACGTGTAAATTGTACTTATCTTAATGTTCCTAAATAGCTTAGCTGCGTGAGTATCATAACGAACATCACATACGCTCCTTAATCTTTTTTCTTTTTTTTCGTAACAAAAACTGTTTTTTTAATATTGGTAAGAGTTGATGAACCCCAGGCTAGATGACAGTGTGTTAAGTATGAGAAAATGGAGACTTTTAAATTAACAAATAAACTTTCGTGGGGAACAAAGAAAGGTAGCGATTTAGGATCTATATCACTCGAAATAGCTTTGGAATAAGATAATTTATATAACAATCCCAGGACACGTTCTCATTAAAAAATACGCCCAGCGTTTTTAAGGAACTGACTATTCAGGTGGGAGAGGAATTCAAACTTAATGATTTAGAAAGTACATCCTGGTGGGTAAACTGTACTAACCCGTTGCATCGTGCCCCTGAACCTCTTGGTAGTATAGAAAGCGGAATGCGCCATGGTCTCTGATCTTGTACAGCCCCTCGAATTTATTTCGCTTTGCATACCTTCACATTTTCATGAATCTCATTACATCGCTACAGTTGTATTTTATAAAACTTTGGCCAGTAAGGGGAGCGATTGCTGTCTTGCTCTAGCCTCTAGCGGTGAAGCGGTCTAAGTGGCTGAAGGCGGGACCGAGAAGTCGTGACTCTGGAGCCCTGATAGCGCTCGCTATTTTTATTGGGGCAAACGAAGTAAGGAGGGTTAATGATGAAAAACAGCGCAAAAGACACGAGGACAGAGAGGAGAGAATTACGCACAGGTCAAGGCGTTGTTTTTGCATTTTATGAGTTTCTACATGAGCGTAAACCCGCTAGCCCAACTGTCCACTCTAGTAAGGAATAATGATCGGTTTTCTGCGCGCATGGCGGTGCGGTGAAGTCTTAGGTTGTTCTTCCTCACTGGCTTATCTGATAAAAATTGCCCGGGACCAATGATTGGTCCCGGGCAATTGTCAACAGTGGGTGATACGCGGCATGGCGCCGCCGCCCGCGCCGGGCTGGCTGGCCCTCGAAGAGAACGCTGCGTGCGTAGTCACACTCTGTGCGACGCGACTGGCGCGCCGCCGCGCGGCCGTTAACGAAGGTAGGCAGTGAGAACCCCAGAGAAAACGAAACCGAAACTACGCTACATACTTTGGTATGCATTGAAGTCGGAGCGGTGCGGTTGCGCTGGGTTCACAGCATGAAGTGCTTAGTTATGCCTCGTATCTCGTGGGGACAAAGTTTCACAGTTTTTCACCTCGCCGATGTTTTGTGGGACAGCGACAACGATGGACCCGCGCCGTACTACGCAAAAAATTTGGTCTCCCGATCATATCTGCCACTGTGTCGGTACGGCTGACATATTCTACACTGCCGCTTTGCGCTCTGCGTTTGTTTTCGTACCAGTGACGCTTACATGTGTTAGCGCCGATGGGACGAACTGAAATGCCATCCCACACTGCGGGTATGCAGTGCCAATTTCGTTGGAGAAATACCCTCCAAAGAAGTTCCGTCCCCATCGTACGTGTCGATGATATTTACGGACAAGTAGGGCACGTATTCTGTACTTCATGTAGAAAAATTCGAACGGTAAAAAACAAAAAGTGACAAATATAAATCTAAGGACAACTACAATGAAACTCGGAATAATTGGAGAATCGACGATTGAGTATGGAAGTTTATGTGGTGTTCTTTCTTTTTGATCAGCCTCCTTTTGGATGTGGAAACGCTGACACCTCGAGTTCTGTAGACAACTTTTTTTTCTCGGCTTTAGAGCCACCTATCACAAAGTTGTTCGAACTGGAAGTACCGTCCACTGGTCCCTTCCTACCTGTAAAATGTGCACCTCCTACGATGAGTGGTGTTATCTTAACAGCCTTTGACGGTCAAAACTGGTTCCCATTTAGTTACGGCGCCTAAACTAAATTTCCACTTGGTTTCGCTATGCCACCTCTTTTTGGTATAATAAGTGTTGCGTCAAGTTACGGTCAGGTCAAAGTATATGTGTGCCGAAAATCAGCACCTCGCGCAACAGGTTATTACACAACAGCTGACCGCAAAAGCCTTTGACGGCCAAACCAAACAGTTTTCTCGGCTTTAGAACCACTTTTCGTAAAGCTGTTTCAGTTGGGCGTGCAGTCCACTAGTCCCTTCCTACCTGTAAAGTCTCCACCTCCCACGACGAGTAGTATTCTCTTGACAGCCCTTTCATGGTTATAATGGTTCATGGTTACCATTGAGTTTCGCCGCTCAAACCAAATTTTCACCTGGTTTCCCTATGCCACCTATTTTTGGTGTAATAAGCGCTGTATCATTTTGCTGTCAAGTCCAAGCACCTGTGTGCCCAAAGCTGCACTTCGCACAGCCCGGTTATAACACAACATTTTGGGTCCAATATTGGATGTCCCGTACAGCTTTATTTCTTTATTCGTTTGAAACGTAACTTTCACACCTGCTGCCTTAATGAAACTTGGCAGACTTCGTGCACAAACTTAGTGAACACATCACTCGCCTCCAAATATCATCATTCTAGCAGTCCCGTCTACAACGACGAGCGAAACAAATTTACCACTCAGAGCAATTATGGTGGTGGCCGTCTTACTTCTCGGAAAATTGCTCCAACCCCTTTTTTGGTCGCAACTAGAGAAATTACCCCCAAATAACGACTCAAACTCAATATGTAAGAAGTGGAGAACAGCTAGATGCCCTTCTTAGGTCTGCCCCAGCACTCATGCAACGTCGCCCTCAACGTATCGGCTCAAAAAGCAAAAGTTTCGTCCGTGCGCGCTTCCGCCGCCACAGCTTCGGATGCGGAAAGGCGCCGCAGGCTGCTGAACGCGCCTCACTGTCGAACGCCAGCTCCTCCGCTAGCCGCGCTACGGCCTATGCTCACTGCGCCGGCGGACAATGGGCATAGCGCTGAAGCGCGCTTTAACCTCACCCCCCCCCCCCCCCCCCTCCCCCTTCCCCTATCCTCCCGGTGACGCAGCTTCGCGGCGACAGTCTGGGCGAATCATTCGCGCACCGCAGTGGTACACGCGCAACATCGCTGCGAAGCGGCGGCGTGAAAACGGGGGAAGGGGGGGGGGGGGGGGGGGGGGGGGGGGGGAAGGAGGACGTTGGTTCAAATGCGCCCCAGTGATATCCAAACAACACCTAACGGCCGGTAAAGCAATCTCGCACTGCTATGTGTGGCGACGAAGCGTCCTCTTCGAGGAACAGCCAATCCGGCGACAGCGGCGTTGCCATGCCGCGTGTCTCCCACCGTCGAGAAATATGCAGTGTTCATCTAGCCATGCCTGTGAGTGCGCCCGTTACAGTCACTGAAAACTTAAAACACAGGGCGTAACGAATGCAGGGAAACTTATTAGCATCGCTTGGCAGCCAATGAGGCTGCTGCATTGGTCGATATGAGCGTCCCAGAACAAATCACAACGCAAGAAACCTGACGATAATGAGCCAGGCACTGCGTTTGGTAAGCTTGCAGTGACTATACGTCAGGCAACTGAGGGAGAGGAGGAGACGAGAGCGCTCGGGGACGTCAGAACGCCGAGCTCTGGTTGGAATGACTAATGGGTCGATCTAAAGCTAGTGGCCTTTGTCTCCAGTGCACTGGTCAAACGCATTCGAACGCCGAACGTCGGCGTCCACCGTATTCCTTTCGCATTCGAACGTGTTCGACGAGTGCAGCGGACACACAGGCAGCCAGCTTTAGCCCTATCCACCAGTCATTCCAACCAGAGCTTGGTGTTGTGGCGCCTTCGCCCGCTCTTTTCTCCTGCCCTCCCTCCGTTTTTCTTTGCGTTGGAACACCACTGTAAACTTTCTTGCCCAGACATGTGATGCGCCAAGATGGCAATGAATAAGAAAAGTACTTTGCAGGAGACAATTAGCGAGCTTGCGAACAACCAAACATATTCAAAAGTACTCCGTGTAAAACGAAGATTTCGCAAAAAGAAATTCGAATATATATATAAACAAATATCTGCAGATGAATGAGCCGTTCTTAAGAATCAAAATTTTCAGGAACCCGCCGAAAGCCAAAAATTGGCGGAGCCAGGCTTTCGGCGGGTTCCTGAAAACTTTGATTCTTTGATTCATTGGATTAAGTACGGTTCATTCATCTGCACATATTTATATATATATATATATATATATATATATATATATATACTAAGGTTAGAGTGAAATATCCAACTTAGTTCAAAAAAATATTCAGACCTTCATGAGATTACTTAGCATGCGCGCTTAAGGCTCACTTTTTCACGCCATAAAGGTTGTTTATTAAGTTTGTGTTTCCATTTTCTATGAGCTATGGTGTCGTGCGACACTCGTACACAACTCGTCAGCACTCAGTCACGTCTTTAGTATTTAACTTAGAAGTTCCTTTGAGCTTTTTGAGCTATTAAAACAGAGGATCGCGTAACATCTGAGCTTCCTACATAAATCATAACCAAAGTTGGTTTTCTGAAAATATTCTTGAAGCCTCGGAACAACAGTTGACGTTCCGATATCAAATAGAAGAAACAGAGTTTTCTTCTCGAAACACTGGCTTTAATTCAAATAACTCAAGGAGGTTCCTACATTGTCGAGGTAACATATGTTTTTTTTTTTGCATAATTAGTATTAATCATTCAGTCCCAAAGAAATTACTCCTTTGACCATTAAAGAAATATTTACGAAATGCGGACGAATGCAGTCATTTTCAATTTCAGTGATTAACGGAAAAGCCTGGGTAAATTTTTTTCGATTCCAGTGGCATCTGGGGTTCTACAAAACAGAATACACTCCGACCAGACGAGGTTTCGACAGCTTCTTTGGATTTTATACAGCTTACAACGATTACTACAATCACACCGCTGGAATGGTAAGTGATGTGAGCACAGACAGTACAGAAGTGGTGAGGACAATATGACGCGTCTTTGTAAGACTTCTTGGGACGTCTTTCAGGACCACATTGGATACGACTCCAGAGACTACGAGACGCCAATCTTGAATGAGACGGGATATTACAATACCCATCGCTTTACAAACAGATTTCGTTCTCTCGTTGGAAACCGCAACAAATCAAAGGTACTGCTTAACCTAGCTTGAGCAGACTTGTGCCCGTTACTTAAAAATAATGTAATACATTACAATTACAAAATACCGAGTCTCAAATGTAATTGATTACCGTAACAAATTACATTTTCTGAAAACTAACGGATTACTTAACTCGTTACGTTAAAATTACTTTCACGTTACTTTTAACGTACACATATAAAAATATTGAAACAATTCTGTGTGTAACACTAGTTTCCATTTCTCATACACCCGCCTTATGGTAGTCCTTGAAAAAATAGCGATTTATTTAATAAGAATCAGAATGTAGTTGCACTCCGTTCACCTGTAAGATGACAAGGCAGCGAAAGCTGCAACCACAGCCGCCATCCCGCTGGCTAACGGCTAACGGAAAGGATCCCTATTCTGCAGACAAAGCTAGCCGTGGGCACGATCAATAGCAGTGTCTACTCCGCTAGGAGGTTCGGAGGTTGGGGACCGATCTACGGAAAGCTCCCTTATGAAATGGGCTCTTCATAGACGAGTGCATCGTCGCAAAACTGGGGTCTCGTGCCTGCAGGTGTGACGCACTGTCAGCTTATAACTGAAAAATGCAGTGGAACGACGCTCGTTTTTGTACTTTCGTCGAGCGGGTGGTCGCACACTCCAACTGCCCTAGTTTCTGTATTTATGATATTTCTAAGAAGAAGCGAGTAATCAAATTAATCCGGTACACTAATTTGAAAGGAAATTTCATTATAAAGTACAGTCGCAAAAAAGTTACGTAGAAATGGCAAAATTACTTGAAAAAGTAACAGATTACTTTTCAAGTATGCTTGAGAGATCCACACCTGCAAAAAAAATATACAATATTCTTGGCGTCCCATACATAATGTCAATAATGTTTCTACATTTAATAATTTTTGATAGCTAGAAAGGCACGATGTATCACCTCCCAGCGATCATTTTATTTCAACGTCAGAGATGACAACTATTTTCGCCCCTTAGCCTCCGTGGCCGTGGGAGCATAAAAACCGATATCTTATCTCATTTGCTCAGCTGATTGAAAGAGATAAAACATTTGGATTTTCGATCTTCTGATCGAAAATCGAAATGGATCTTCTGAGAATGTATGGAGCGCCTCCAATGGATGACGCTCGAGCTTAAAGAAAAGCATTCCTTCGACAACGTGGAAAACGCGGGGGAAGATAAGCATGATATTTTATGTGCTCGCTTTTCTTGTAACGTGCGCTGAATCGCTCATACAAGTACGCATCGTACAAATAGAAGGGGGTGTCATAATGCTTTATTCCATAGGGAATATTCACGAAAACTACTAACATTGAGTTTAAATTAGGTGCTTAATTACGTTCAAATAATTAACTTCCAGTTAGTAAATTTAAAGGTATGATTTTAATTACAAATTCTCTGGGCATAATGAATATCCCCTAAATCAGCGCACCTTACAAAAATATCTGGCATGCACAATATTTTTTCGCCGTTCCGAAATAACATTCAATGTGGACGCGTTTCGAACAGCATAGTCCTTCGAACTATGCTGTTCGAAGTACAATAAAAACAAAACAAAAAAAAACACTGATTCTTGGATCACTTCCGTCGTGCGGAGACTGCGCGGTGCCGCGTGTTCATTGCATGCTTTGGCGACAGGGGAGTAGAACCACTGGTGCCGAGATCCGTTTTGATAAAGTGGTTACGCACGCACTAACACAGACCGGCTACCGAGGGAACATTTCTCCGCTGAACTCGAACGGCTCCTGAAATCAACGGATTAGGATATCCAATTCAGGTGCCGCGTCGTCGACGGAACTTGCCGCACGCTTGCATCAGTTTCGCGTAATATACGGGTTGCATAACACTGGATAATAACCTCATGGCTCACCATCACGCCGCGGATACTGCACTTTCGTCTGGTTGCCGTATTGCATCGCCATTTCTCCGGTTTACAACACCGCGAGGTAACCCAACGAACCAGGGTATCAGGAGACAATAGAGAGTTTTGGTAGATCGTTTTTTCGTCCCGATAACTATACGATGCATGCCCAAGGCCGCCGGAAGGGAGTGGAGGTATCGTCATCGGGGCGAAAAAACGATCTGCTAAAACTCTCTAATACGGCGCAAAATCGCCAGGGAGTCTGCACAGAGATAATTCACAACAAAACAGCACTAGACTACGAAGAATGCTCCTCCGTCTTCGACACAATCTTGAAAAAAAAAAAGAAAAGTTAGCGTTTTTATTAATTGTTGCATACCAAGTTAACTTCGAGTCTGGAACAACCACAGACGCTACAGTGATGTACTGGTTTTCCCCCACGTAACCAGCAACAAACCCAGCTCAGCTATGCGGGACGAGGAGCCCCCCTCCAGCACTGTCTCCACCGTCGCCCCGCAAGTTTCCTCCTTTCCAGTCAACGGACCCGCAAATATGGTTCGTCCAAGTCGAGTCTCGATTCGCCACTCAACGAATCACAGCTGACATGGCGATGTTTTTGCACGTCGTGTTCAGCCTCTCCCCAACAATCGCCACAGAGGTGCGGGATCTGCTGCTCACACCGCCAGTCATCGATGCCTAAAACACCCTAAAGGCACAGCTGATCCGCCGGACAAGCGCCTCAGAGGAGAAACGCCTACAGCAACTCTTGACCGCAGAGAAACTTGGCGAGTGGACACCAACCCACTGTTAGAGGCGGGGTTTGAGCCGCACGTCCTGGGGCTTCCTTACCCTCGACGACGTCCATTTCCCGATGTGAAGAACCCAAGTGTTCAGTGGAGGTGGGAGACTTGGCAACGTAACGAACGGTTTAATGGACCTTTTCCGAGAAGCGTTCTGCGCACGCGCGAGCGCCCGATGCCAAGCGGCGGAAGTTGGAACGAAAAATCGAGGAAATTCGGAACGAGGTTGTATATTAGCGAGTAGAACACGTAACTGCAGCATATATATAATTGGGTTACACAAAAAAAGAACGTCGACGAAAAGGAAAACACGACATTTGGGTGCACGCCACGGATTCCCCCCTTTAAGGTCGCGCTGGGCAAGCGCAGCTGCTCAGAAAGCGAAGAAACTGGTAGTGTAGCCTCCATAATCGATTGGTAGCGCAGGTAGGTCACTTCCTCGATTTTTAGTTCGTGCAGCCACCGCCTGGTGCCGTCGGTACGTGGAAAAGGTCCATTGCATGTTTGCAATACAGTCGTCAAAACCGGAGAGAAAATCGGAGCAGTGTCTCGCTCCGCCTTATATGGGGTCCGTCTCTCCCTCACTCCCCGCCAGGGTAGCAAAACTGCCGCCAATGCATGATGCAGCAAACGTTCGCGCGCAGTTAGGCCACGTCTCTCTGCCTTTCCTGAGCGCACCAACACACACACACAGACACACGCACACACACACACACTCACACACGTTCCGTTGACGTCACGGACGCGTCGACACTCGTTTCCGCAAACACACGCCCCGACAGTCGGGTGAGTTTGTCATGACGGTCCCTTTTCTTTGGGGGAAAACGCTTCTCCCCGGTAGGGAAATTTCCCTACCGGGGAGAAGCGTTGTGCTGTCCTCATTTCCGCTGCGTTGAAACTCGGAAACCATAGCGAGTTTTAGTAGACCGTGTTTCCCCCTCCACTAAGCCGCTCCGCTACCCGGAACTCTACAGCCAAGGCCATCGGCACGCAGGCGCGGTGGCGGTTTCTTCGTAGCGGAGGATTAGCGGAGGGGGAAACACGGTCTACTAAAACTCCCTCATATCTCGTGGGCTGGGCCGGAAAGTAGGTCACGCCTGATCCTCTCCTAATGGGGTCGTTCCTGTTTCCGAAGACGACCTTGGAGCCGGACAACAAAGCAGCTCGCCCACGATCCTTCGCCCGCCCCCAAGGGTGTGGCTGGAGGAGAAGATGCTTTCCACCCTTTTGTGGACGACCGGGTCGTTACCGCTCCCAATGCGAAGGTCCGGGACCAGAGAAACCTCAAATGGCCGGTGCACATTCGCTGGCCTCAAGAGGTGGGCTTGGAGTAGGCCTTGAAAAGACTCTGAAAGCACTAAACAAACTCCCAAGCCTCTTACAACGGAGGCATTAGCGGAAACAATCCGAAGGTCCCGAGGTGCGTTGTGATCCTTCGACACGAGGTGCCGCTACTGGTCGATCCGAATCCATGTAAACGTAGTGGTTGAAGCGGATCCGGTTCGCTAACTGGATCCGATGCGCTGCTGTCGCACCCATGTAAACGTAGCCACTGAGTCCGACGGTCACTGCATGGCGATCATGAACCAAGCAGCCCCGCCGCAGTGATTAGTTTGCTATCTCTCGGCTCCCACACAGGGGTTGCACAGGGGGGGGGGGGGGGGGGGGGGGGGTGATCCGCAGAGTCTTCGTTGCAGCGTACAAGCTGGCAGGGCGCACAACGGGCACGTGAAGGTTGATTTTCCGCGCGGCAACAGTTCGAACACATGCTTGAGCTGGGCTTTTTGTTCGCCAGTCGGAGAGTTCCTATTCTCGCCTCTCCACATGGTTTCCAAGCCCGCGCCAGGGGACTGACACCCGTGTGGCGATTACCGAGCCCTCAACCGCAACACAGCAGAAGATCGCTATGCGATTTAGCATATTCACGACTTCACCGCATCGCTCCTAGGCACTACCACTTTCTCCAGGATCAATCTGGTACCTGCTTATTATCAAATTCCTGTCGAGCCCTCGCACATTCCAAAGACCGCCGTCACCGCACCTTTTGGTATATTCGAGTTTGTGCGGATGCTGTTCGAACTCAAAAACGCTGCGCAGACCTTCCACCGTTTCGTAGACCAGGTGTTGCGGGGGTTTCCCTTCTTCTACGCCCACATTGATGTCACCCTTGTGGCAAGCAAATCGACCGACGAACATCTCGGACACCTCCGAACCCTGTCCATTCTTCTGGCACAATTTGGAATTGTCATCAATGTGGAGAAGTCCATTTTTGGCAAGCCCGATCTCGACGTTTTCGGCCATACAGTCAATCCTTTCAGCACCCACCCATTCGCCATCAAGGTGCAGGTCACCCAAGAGCTCCCAAGCCAATAACCAAGAAACAACTCCGGGAGTTTTTCGGCAGGATAAAATTCTATCTGCTGTTTCTCCCGGGCTGCGCAGAAAAGCTCCATCCGCTGCACGGCATGCTTCCGGGTGCACGTAACTCCAAAGCCGAGCTCGCTTGGGACGAGCACACTACTTCCGCATTCGATCTTGCCAGACAACTTGTCATCACAACAACCATGCTTGTGGATTCCAAGGAACCAGTCCTACTTTCGGTAGCCAGCGATACTTCGGACAACGCCGCTGGCTCTGTACTTCAACAGGAAGTACGCGGACAGTGGCAGCCGCTTTCTTTTCTTTTCCCAGAAACTGAGTCCCACCAAGCTGCGTTACAACAACTTAAGCCGCGAGTTACAGGCGGCGTACTTGGCCTTGTCGCATTTCAGGCACTACGGCAAAGGTAGATATTCCTTTTTTTTTCTTTTTTTTGCGTTGACCGATCACAAGCCCCTCGTGCACGCTTTTCGTTCTCTGCGACCAATGTCATGTGTCTCGGAATTTACATCGGACCTCCGGCACGTTTATGGAGCAGAGAACGTCGTGGCTGATGCTCTTTCACGAATAGGCACCTGCACCAGCGATACTCTGGCTGTCGTCGACTTGGTAAAACTGGCAGCTGCGCAATGCGACAACGCGCAACTGCGCGACCTCCGTCCAACACCCAGCCGGCTTGTGTTCTGTGAAGTCCCTCTTCCCATGTGTCCCATCGACCTCATCTGGGACACAACAACGGGATCACCGCGCCCCTACGTGCCACTATAGTTTCACCGCCGGATCTTCGATGCCCTTCACGGACTTTCTCACCCCGAAATCAAGGCTACCCAACATCTTATAAAGCCTCGCTTCTTGAGGCCCAGCATCAACAAAGATGTTCGCCACTGGGCCCGCATTTGCCTACAGTGTCAGCGCTGCGAAGTTCGGCATGCCATGGGCACACTCTTAGGAGCATTCGATCTACCCGACGCATGGTTCGACCACATCCGCATAGATAGCGTGGAACCCCTGCAACTTTCCCTGGAAAATGCCTACCTTCTGTCTTGCACTGACCGTTTCACTCGCTGGCCGGAAGTCATCGCTCTGCCTAACATCACGGCGGAAACAGTTTCGCATTTTCTTGTTGCATACAGAATTCCGCTGTTCGGCACTCCTATCAATACAACCACAGACCGGAGCCGGCAGTTTGAGTCCAGTCCCTTCAATGGTCTCACCAAGCTGATGGGTTCCTGGCGCATTCGCACAACTGCTTACCATTCTCCAAGCAATGGCATGGTTGAGCACTTTCATCGCCAGCTGAAAACCGCCCTCAAGACCCATCAACGTCAATATCGGATGGAAGTTCTGCCCTTCGTTCTTCTCAACATTCGGACAGCCCTCAAATTTGATCTTGGCTGCAGCGTTGAGGAGTTGGTCTTCGGGACAACGCTTCGTCTCCTCGATAAATTCTTCATTTTCACGCAAGGCGACACCTATCTGGAAACAACCTATACCGTGACCAACCTCCGGGAGGCCAAAACACACATCGGCGCTACTGCACCCCGACGAACCCCCAGCCAATCCTCCTTCATCAGCAAGGACTTGACAACCTGCACACATGTCTTTCTGCGAAATGACCCTGCAACCGCCGTACGATGGGCCACGCAAGGTCTTAAGGCAAGGTTCAAATAACATCTTACATGCAATTCCTGGTCGTCGCATTATTCTGCGTTGAATTAGCTTATTTGGATGGGCGCCCCAACAGACACTCCTGCAACTGTACCACCCACCCGGAAGCACCGCCTAAACAAACAATGCTTGCGCCGACCTCTCCTCCTCCTCCACCCGATTGCCCGCAGATCATCGCTCCGAATGTCCAGCAACCGAAGATCTAGACGCACTTCGGCCGCCACGTGCATTGGCCACAGAGCCTGGGCATCGCATCTTCACCTACAGCTGGTACACGCCTTACTAGCTCGCCCGCAGCGAGGCAAAAGCATAGGTTCGGATAACACCATTCTACCAACGTTCGCCTAGACTCTGGGGAGAGAGTACTGTGGTCACGCACGCACCGACATACAGTGGCTCCCGACAGAAAATTTCTCCTCTCGATTCGATCGGCTCCTGAGAGCTTCTTCAGATTGCGATAGTCGATTCATGTGTCTCGTCGTCGGCTGAACTTGCCGCACACTTGCATTAGTGGTAGGTTGCATAACATTGGATTATAACTCATGTTCCACCATCGCAGCGTGGATATTTCTCTCTCACTGTACGCACCAGGGCAGTGGCGTAGCCAGGAATGTTTTTTCGAGGGTGGGGGGCTCAGCTGTCTGGGCTATTTATGACTTGGGGTAAGGAGTGGATGAGGGAGGGTCAAAGTGCAAATGTATATGATACGGTCGGCTCGATTTCGGCGGTGAGGGGGGGGGGGGGGGGAGAGAGAAGCCCTATAAGCCCCCCCCCCCCCCCCCCCGGCTACGCCCCTAAAAGCACGTAATTCTTTTCAGTAGTCAAGACGTGAGTGAGCGCAGCGCCACCTATTGATTACAGTGCAATCGTTTTTACAATTTATTTAATATTACATCACTGACATTGTTTTATATTATCACCATGCATTCGTTTTATTATGTTCGCTCTGGTTTGACTAAGCTGTGTATTTTAGGCAGGATAGTTTGTTATACTTTGCCTTGAAATTGGCACCCGTCACCCCGCAAATGTTTCGAAATATCCGTCCTCTATTTATCTGAGAAGTTCCGCACCCAACCAAATAAAGATGATTGAGGAAATATTGCCCGTTTTTTTTTTTTTTAATTTAAGCATTTTCTGCCCCATAAACACTTTTCCCGAAAATATATAATTTGGATGTAGTCCGCGCTCCCCCTTTGCTCCATACCCCGTGCAAAACCGACTGCGTGAGCAGGGCAGCGAGCACCTCTTCCCCCTTATGGAGCAGGGGGGAGGTAGCTTTGGCATTCCACGGGGGTAGGGTTTCAACAACCCAAACCCCACTCCTGCCTATGCCACTGCACGAGCGTATCAAAGAATACTGCGCAAGATCACCAGGGGGACTGCACAGAAATTTCACAACCGAACGGCACCAGACTCCGAAGACTGCTTCTCGTCCTCGGTCCTATCTTGAAAAAATACTAAGTTAGTTTTCTTACCAATCGTTCCAGAACAGTTTAACTTCGAGTCTAGAACAATCCAAAACACTACAATAAGGAACCCAAACTTCGAAACGCGTTCAATTTGAGTGGTTTCCGGAAGGCCGTGAAATGTTCCGTGTGCCTTATAAGCTATATTTTTTGTAAAGTATGCTGATTTAGTAGTTTCCGATCATAAGCAGAAAGTCTATAATTGCGAAACTTGCTTGCATTTACAAATTAAGAAGTTACTTATGCAGAAGTAAGGAACAAATCGCACACAACTTTAATTTTTTCGACAATAGGCCTCTTTACAGAACCAATAGGATATCAACCTTATATCTGTGCGGTACGTACTCTTGCAGTGGCAATTTGGCCCGGCATTAGAGAAGCAGCCTGCATATCTTTTTTACGTTGTTCAACAAGCTACATGACCCTGAACACTCGCATTCATAAAGTATTATTTTTATACTAAAATGTTAGAAGTCACGCTCTTAACTACATATCTGTAGCTGCAGTGTTTGGAAATAACGTACTAGACATAATTTCTTGTACAGACGTTTGTCTCGCTTTGTACCTATTGGAAATCGAAAGAGTTTTATGTAATATGTGTAATGGACATACGGAAGCATAAGTTTAAACTATATAAGTCGTATATAAGTTCCAGCGCCATCTTATACAGCAACACGCGGCAATGACGTCATGCCACTACGGTGATGCTGCGGAGCGCAAGATCGTCTGCTTCTTGAAGATGGGTTCCGATAATGTCGGAACGCCGAGCTCTTATTGACTGATTGAAAAGAATAGTGGGTAGACCTCGAGGCATCTAGCATTGAGGTCTACCAACTGTCCTTTCAATCAAAGCCAATCAAAACTCGGTGTCGTTCTGACGTCACCGCGACACCTGCGCAAGAAACGGGCGACCTACTCTCCGCATTGGCATGGCGCACGCGCATGCAGTGCTCACACCTCGTGTCGAAACAAACAGTTATTTGATTTAATGTACACTCTATAAATGCAAAAAGATGTTGATGTCATATCACATATCTCATTGTGTGGTTATTGTGCAAAAAAAAAAATGAAGAAAGAGTATTCGAGGTGCGGCGTATAGGATCTAATAATTTGTCGTCCAACTTTTATTCGCAGCCCTTTTTTTGCTACTTCAGTCACCAGGCAGTGCACGGTGCGTTGGAGACGGAACCTTTTCAAGCTCCCGCACGCAATGTTCTCAAGTTTCCCTATATAGGAGAGACGAACAGGACATTATACGCGGGTGAGAAGGCCATCGATAGTTTCTGGCCATATCTTTTCTAGCCATAACCATTTCTAGATTGTGCAATCTTCTTAGCCTTTTACGCCATCACGCAATTAAGGCGACTTAACTTGAATATTTGTGCAACAATAACCAATATTTATTGGAAATTGCGCGGTCGCTTCGGTGTCACTAGTTTAGTTTAGTTTGAGGTTCGAAAAAGACGAATGATACTAAAACGATAAGGTTGTTCAAATAGCTTGCAGCATTTATGGTCCCTGACAGCTTAAGAAACGCAGGCCTTGTCGAGTCTTATTGACACATACCTTCGCAGTCAATGAGTCTGCGGCATTGGCCGACAAGAACGCTTAAAATCCGATCACGAGGCAAGGTATGTGAACATATTAAGTAACACCCTGCATTTCTCAAGCTTTCAATAAATACAAAAATAATATATGCTGCAAGTTCTGTCTGCGGCTGTGGTTCACGCTTTTAATGTTGAAAAATCCAGGAATGCTAGACGCCCTTGACGAGTCCATCGGGAGTATTGTCGAGGCCCTGGACAACGCCGGAATGCTTGAGGACACCATCATCGCCTTCAGTTCGGACAACGGCGGATCTCCGTACGGGCTGCAATCCAACCGTGGCTACAACTGGCCACTCCGGGGAGCTAAGTTCACTCTTTTTGAAGGCGCTATCCGAGTTCCGGCCTTCGTCTGGAGTTCAAAGCTCGCAAAGATGCCCCGGGTCTCTGATCAACTTATGCACATCAGTGACTGGCTCCCGACGCTCTACTCGGCAGCAGGTAAGATGCCTTACCATTTTTGCGCCAGTCGTCATCGTGGTCATTGTCGTATATTTACATTTATTTACTTTTCAGGCTGTGTTAACGTAGTGCTGGTCCGACGGGGACACATTGTGTCCCACAGCCAAGGTCAAGGGAGATAAGAGAAGCATTAAAACTTGGGTTTGGGCTAGTTGGTCCATTACTGAATAAAAGGTTAAAAAGCGCGAACAAACGAGCACAATAAAGAAACACGGACGACAGGACAAACGCTTCCTGTCCTGTCGTCCGTGTTTCTTTATTGTCCTCGTTTGTTCGCGCTTTTTAACCTTTTATTCGATAAGAGAAGGTTTACCGAAGTGTTATTGTCCCCTTGTCATGTGTTTTTTTTTTTTTTTTTTTTTTTTGTAGAGACGGCGCTGGAGATGGGGTATATTAAGCGTGTTCGAAATAAACTTTGCAGCTGAGTTTGAAACGTTGCCTCCTTTTTTACCACCTTCTGTTGTGTTCTCTTCCTGTCCCAGTCTCAGGTTTACAATCATGTTCAACTTACACCAGCTCGCCTGCACTCTGACTATTTTTTTATGCTAAATTTCTCACGCTTTAGGTCTGAGTCCCAACGGTAACGACAGCACATTAGGCTTTAGGCGGCATGCCTAGTCTGTCCGGGGAACGTCGCATGCGTTGAGAATGTCGATGAGGATCCTCAGACGGAGTTGTAGATGCGCCTCCAGCCGAACTTGTCTGCATCGCAGGAGGTGGGATTCTTTCCTATGAACGCGGCAAAATTCCACCTTATCTTGTGGCCGTGCACCAGGACTTCCTGTTGGACCCAGAAGCATCCATGGCTGCAGACCTGGAGTTAGCCGTACAGTTCTTCGAAGATGGGTGTTTACCTTTAATAGACCATCCAAATGTAAAGAAATTATAAGATTTCGTACTTCCACGACATACCGAAGTGCTCGTTCGCCGGGAAACAATGATTCCTTGTGACCAAGAGTTCCTGCTGCCATTTCAAACGAGCACCCATTCACCTGCTTGAACTAACGAAGTGGTCTTCGAGACTTGTGCGCCATCTGTTGCGGGCGCGGACGCTTATTTACGGTTCTCTCCATGCTTGGCTTGATCAGGTAAGGGCGAGTGCGAAGTGGTCGTTTGAGAAGCAGTTCAGCTGGTGTCTTCTCCTTGGTGCTCTGTGGAGCACTACAATAGTTAAGGAGTAACCTGACCAGCCTTTGATTTTTTGTTCTGTCAACTTTATTTCCTGGTTATTTCATCCAAGCTCGTTTGACTGTCTGTACTACTCGTTCAGCCACTCCATTCGATGCTGGGTGATAGGGAGTTACACAAATCTGCTTTACCCCGGTGGTTCAAATGAAGTTCTTGAAGTTTCCGGAAATAAACTGCGGTCCATTATATGGGACAACGTCTGATGGTACCCTGTAGGACAGGAAGAGCTTCCAGAGCAAATCGATGGTGCGAGCGGCTGTCGTCGTCTTTCTGGGTAGGACTTCTGTCCACTTAAAAAAACTCTTTATGACGACCAGGTAGTGCTGCTTGTTAAGTTCGGTGAAGTCAACATCGATCCCCTTCCACGGGTTTCTTGTCCAAGACCATGGGTGTAGAGGTGCTGCAGCCAGTTGATTTTGAATTGATGCACAAGCACAGCACTTCTTTACAAAGTATTCTATATCTTAGTCCAACGCTGTCCATAAAAGAAGATTTCAAGTGTGCTTTCATGCGACTGAGACTTGGGTCAACCTCGTGGAGTTCATGCTGCAGTCGCTTTCAAAATACTGGCGGTATGATGGCTCGGCATTCACACAGAAGATAACCTTGGTCTGTAGACAACTGCACCCTCTTGTCGAAGTGAGTGTGAAGCGCCTTGTCCAGGACGGAGGTTGACCGACCCTTCTGAGTCAAGTCCAGCCCCCTGGATAGCGTTGGGGTCTCTTCTAGACTCCACTGCAATTTTGTCGTTAGTGACAGTAAGTTGTTCGACATGGGAGACCTGAAGTACCGACGTGTTTTCGTCAGGGTTACTAGAAACAGGGTCTGAAGGCAATCGCGATAGTGCGTCAGCATTTCTGTTGTGATAGCATTTTCAGTACACGATGTCATAGTGGTATTCGAAGTGTAAAGGCCCGTTCACACTCTTGCGACTGCTTGCGACCTCTTAAACCTGGGTTCCTTAAAACTTCTTAAACCAGAGAACACACTGGCGCCATCTATTGGGAAGCAGTGTAAACTCGGCGGTCCGGCATATTTTTTTTATTTCTCGCGCAATATCCTTTCTTTTTTGGCTCGAAAAACCTTTGTCAATGTTATAAACGAGCCTTTCTATGGGTATTACGCACATTTGACCTCGGAAATCCCGCCAAACCTTCGCTTTTGTGAAATGCAGTTCTAGGGTCACCGCATAGATGGCGCCACAATGTCAGTGTGTTCCCTCATTCTAGAAACATTTAAGAAGTTGTAAGAGATCTCGTCTCTCTCAGTCGTACTCGGTCGCAAGAGTGTGAACGGGCCTTAAGTGGCCAATGCTGCATTCTTAGCGCGGCTAAACTTTCGATTCACGCTTGGCTGTGGAGCATCGCAGTTAGAGATTTATGGTCTGTAATAAGGGTAAAGTTCCGACCGTACAAGAACTCGTAAAATATCTTCCCCTCAGACACAATACCAAGCGGCTCTCTCTTGATTCGTACGTAGCTACGCTCGATTGTTGAGAGTGTTCTGGAGGCCTGCGCGCTTAGTCTTTCCTTACCATTTGGCATGATGTGCGATATGACTGCTCCCACCCCACCTGGAAATGCATCACAGGAGAAGCAGAGAGGCTTGCCTGGGTCGTACTGAGTTACCCACATGCTCTGCAGCAAGCTGTCGTTTTCTTCCTTGAAATTTTTTTCGCAATCGTGTATCCTCTTCCAACGGTCGTTTTTCTATAGAAGCGAGTGGAGCGGTTTTAATGTCATGGGGAGGGCTGTGAAAAAATGAAAGCCGTTTACAACTCCCTGTAACGTCGAATTAGAGCGCAGCTCTTGAGGAGGAGGAGGTAAGGGTACTAAGGTTCAAGTGTTCTCGGGGGGGGGGGGGGAGGTCACATGACCTCGGGGGGTTGGCCACGTGACCTGAGGTCAAGTGACCTTGGCGGGTTCACATGACCCCCTCCCCAAGGTCACGTTACGTTGGGGGTGTCACGTGTCCACGGGGGTCACGTGACCTCGGGGGGGTCACGTGACCCCCCAGAGAAATTTGTCCGCTAGATTTAGCGAAGAATTTTTTCCGCTAGATTTAGCGGGAAAATTGTTTCCACTATATCTAGCGAGGAAATTTTTCCGCTTGATCTAGCGGGGAAATTTTTCCGCTAGATTTAGCGGGGAATTTTTTCCGCTAGATCTAGCGGGGAAATTTTTTCCGCTAGATTTAGTGGGGAATTTTTTCCGCTAGATTTAGCGGGGAAATCTTTCCGCTAGATTTAGCGGGGAAATTTTTCCGCTAGATTTAGCGGGGAAATTCACCCATAATGCACCGCGCAGTTACGCCGACGGCGACGCCGACGCCGCTCAAGCCGGGAACGGGCGCCTAAGAGCTGCGCTCTAAAATCGCCCGTAGTAGTTGAGGAGGCATAAGAGCGAGCGCAGATTTATTACATTGGAAGGAGACTGAGCGTTTTAAATGACCTGCACCTTATTGTCGGTGGGATATAATGTCTGGGTGACGATTGAATAGCCAAGGTATTCCGCGCTACTTTGAAGCAACTCGCATTTTTGAAGATTTGCCCGAAATTCGTTCGCCGTTAGTAGAGCAAAGGACTTGGTCCAACATTTGATGGTGATCCTTGAGAGTGCTTGATGTAATCAAAAAGTCATCGAGGTAGCTTACCGCTTGTTCAACTCCTTGTAGGATCTTGTTGATGGTACGCTGGAAAATTAATGGCGCTGTGAAGACTGCGTACGGTAGGCGATCGTATTGGCAGAGTCCTTACTGCATGGTGCTGGTGTGGACCTTCGAGTTGTGCGTAAGCTCCAACTGTTGGTAGGCACTGGCCAAATCTACCTTACTGAACTAACTTGCCGCAAGCTAGAGTGGCAAACAAGTCTTCTGCAGTCTGTAACGTGTAGGCATCCGGTCAAATGCAACGGTTTACAGTGACCTTGTAGTCTCCACAAAGTCCAATGTACTTGTCTTGACGCCGAGGTTTTCAAAAGCTTCAACTCTTTCTCTTCAAACTCACGCAGGGCATAAGAAAGGGGACGTGCTTAAAGAAGATTAGACCGGATTCAGACTGGACGTGATTTGCAACTTTGACTGATTTAACCGTTCCCAGTTGCTCGCTCAAAAGCATCAAGCGCTTGTGTACAGGTTGGCTAATCCGGTCCGTGCTGCAAGCACTGAGAGGGAAAATTCATCTGACCAGTTGATGCGGTTGTGCATCGACTAGTTTCTTCCAATAATCTCCTTGGACGACCGCCAACCCTACTAAAGAATCTGATACACATAAGAAATGTCCTCGTCCAATAAACGCATATGATTAAATAAAATCATATACGAGCATACAAGAAGTTTATAAGACCATATAAGTACAAACTAAGATTATATAAGAAGTCATAAGAAACTTTTTATCAGTCTCTTATAACTGCTGATATAATATTATATCATTCTTATATGTTATTTTTAATGTCTCGTTTGTTCTTATATGATCTTATTTAATCATATGCGTTTATTGGACCAAGAAATAATTTTATATATAATATTGTTTTACTACGAAATGACAGTCTTATCGCCTGGTCTGCATATGTGACCGGAAGTTGTAGCTCTCCAAGCCCAGGAATGGTGTCGCCCGTGTAATAGTAGAACCGCAAGGTCGAGGGTTGAAGCGGCCAACTGCGCAGCGACTCATTAGATTGTCTCCATGAGATGATGGTCAAAGCCGCTCTGATATCGAGCAGCATTTTTACCGGGTTTCCTGCAAGCGTCAGCAGGACCTCAATGCCGTCGCTGGCGGTGTAAATGATGCCATCAGTTGTATAAAGAGTGACATTGTCGTCTTGGAGACTTTCTTAGCTAGCTATTTGATGTGTTGTGAAACACACGTCCTTTGCTCCGGCAAACTCGAGCGGTGTGTCGCTTCTTCCCGCAGTTATGCCCAAATCCGCCTTTGAAAGGACAGTTAGTCTGTTGAAGGTTATAATTGTCGCAACGATGGCAGGTACGTGTCGCCGGGACGCTCAATGCTAATGATACCGGCTTCTTCTTTGATGGACCTGCCTGGGCCTGAACTTTCTGAATGTTTCCGTCGTGAGGAGGTGCATGCTGAGTTAGTTGACGATTGTCCTGTCCTGTCTTGCGAGTTCCAAAACTTGGGCGATCACTCAAGCAGACTTGATGAGCAGGAGGTTTATTGAATACTCGTCCCTTAACCCACAGACGAAACGGTTACGTAAGACATTGTTCAAGATGTATTTGAAATCGCACGTGTGTGCGAGCTTCTTTAGTGCTGCGATGAAATCAGTGCTTCGGTTCTTGAGTCGGCTCTTGGAGAACTGGTAGATTTATAAATATTGGTCTAGACCCAGAAAAAGTTTACTACAGAATGTGGGGGGATCACAGGCTTGTACAAGATACTCACCAAAAGTATTTAATTAAGTTACTGAGTACCACGAAAAATAGTAACTGAGTAGACCATTAAATACTCAAATTTGTAAAGTAATTGAGTAAAGACCAAAATATTCCAAAAATGTAACTCGTTACTTTCAAGATACTCTCAAGTTACAATTTTTACTGCAATTCATTGTGATCTCCGGTGACCTCGGGGAGGGGGGGGTCACGTGACCCCCCGAGGTCACATGCCCCCCCCCCCCCCTCCGCGAGTTCACATGAGCCCCTTCCCCTCAGTACCCTTCCCTAATCCTCAAAAGCTGCGCTCTAATTCGGCGTTACAGGGAGTTGTACACGACTTTCACTTTTTTTAATAATTTTGTCCTAACTAAGCATATGTCTCCACTCAGCTAGTTTTAGCGACAGCATGTAGCTTACAAAATTTAGTTAGAAAAAAAAATGAACAGGGATTGACCTATTAGTGCAATTTTTGTGGCGCCTTGCAAATCCATCGTGCCAAGCTGCTGCATCCCGGGTTGTGCCCCAAAGTGTTTAACGCGATTCTCAAATATTCCTCACAGGCGGTGACGCGTCTACTCTCGGCGCGATGGATGGAGTCGACATGTGGCTTTCCCTGACCCGCGGCTCGGCGTCTCCGCGCAAAGAGCTTCTCCTGAACATTGATCCAATGCACGACAGCGCGGCACTGCGCTACAAGCAGTACAAACTTGTCGTGGGCCTAGGTACCGATAACGACTTGCCTGGGCACTATCACTTTCCCGGTGGCAAGCGACCGACAAATGACGTCCCTCATCTAAGAAGGAACTCCAAAGTGGCGCAGGTACTCAGGAAGTTCTACTTGAAGCAGAACCGACTTTGGTGGCCACTGCCCTGGAGGAAGAACGTCGTTGTGGACTGTCGAAGGAATCAGTTGACCGACAAATTCGTTCCTCACCAGCCCCCGTACCTTTTCGATATAAAGCATGATCCCTGCGAACTCAACAATTTGGCAGGAACACATAAAAATGTAAGTCAACCCTAGAAGAAAAAAAAACGGTTTCATTCGAGAGACACAGAATATGCAGCGTCTTTTGGGTTTAACAATATATTGAGTCTTAAATGGCGTATAACTTAATTTATCAATCACATGCTACTCTTTGGCGTTACACATCCGTTATCTACTTTTGTTACACTCAGGGAGACACTTTTTTATGAAAGATTATCTCTAGACACACATTGTTTCTAGAACGTACGAGCTAAAAATACTTATTTATATTATTTATTAATTTTTACCTTACAGAGCCCTTTTAAGGGTTCGTAAAGTGCAACAGGTGCTCACATGAATGACAACATGATAAATTTTAATGCATGAACTGGTATGAAAAAAAAAGTAGTACTCATGATTTCTGCGGGAACCAATAAACAAATACAGCTCATATCAGAACCGAGTAAAAACAGCATGAGTGTTAAAATAGATATATTCACGTAAATCGTTAAAATTCATACGATATAACTAAAACAGACATGGCACACAAGCAGCAAAACTCGGTATTTAATAGTTAACTACCCACCATCCTTTTAATCGAAGCCAATCAAAGTTCTGCGTCGTTCTGACGCTACCGCAACCCCTTCGCGAGAAGCAGATGTCTTCCTCTCCGTATAGTCACTTACATCTAAAAAAAAAAAAAAAAATAAAAACAAACTTTGGGCGTAACTTATTATATAACGCTTCTCGCCCGGTGATTTTTTCTGAGGTACTTTTTTAATCGACAGATGGAATCTTATAGACTTCGGAGCGATGCTATGATGTTCACGGCTAACTACGCCTTGTGTGTTTTTAGAGCTTTCGGTGACTAAACTATTGTTAGAAGAAAATGAAGTAGCGCAGTTTTCGAAGACACTAATATACTTTATGAAAGCGTAAGATTCGCGCCGGCTTCAGAACAGTTTTTACAGCAAGTATTAGGACTTGTGCTTTAGGAGATGTCTGCTTCTGCGGAATGCTTTGATCAGAGGCGCTTTTGGCCAGAAAGTGAGACAGGCACGCGCTCAGTGTTGGCACCTCTTTTTTTGGGCGCGCCGCTCAATTGAGGCCAGTAAGTCACTAAACAGTCCCTAGATTCGCCAGGAAGTCGCTAAAATTTTCGCTGAATTCCAAAAGCTTATTAAACCCTTTTAAAGTAAGTGACCCTCAAATAATCACATCTCAGGTATTTCGAGAGGTTAAACTTACACTGAAGAACAACTAGGTTGGTTGTTTCCCAAATAAAACATTACCGATGCAATCGGTAATGTCGACGGTTCGTTGCCAGCTTTGTAGGCTTCAAGTGTGCCAATTCGTTGAACAACTTCAGGAAGCTCGTGGTCAAAAGCGAAAGCCAAGAGCGCAGCGGCCAGCCAAAAGCGGCTGCGCTCTTGGCTGGCGGATAGCAACGTTTGACGGAGGGCACGTATACGTACGTGGGCGCGGACGAGATGGTTTGCAGTGTTGAGAGTGTTGACATTTTTTTTAGGGGCAAAGCTCCTTAGCGGCTAGCCATGTCCGTATGTCCGTCCGCTGTCGGGTGCACGTCCTCCTGCTCGTGAACTCACCCGCTCACGTGCTCACGAGCACGTGAGCACGTGCTCCCGTGCTCGTGTTGGGCAAAAAAAAAAAAAACTCATCTCCACATGGTGAATGATGTTGATTGGGGCGAAGCTCTGGTGGTGCTTGTCTGCGTAGACGGTGAACCGCAGCATGCCGAGCCTATCGTTCGTTTTCATCCATGTCAGAAAGAGAATGTGTGATATGAAACGTGGTTATATACGCATCTGAGCATTTGACCGCAGCGTGAAATGGATGAAAACGAACGAAAGGCTCGGCATGCTGCGGCTCAGCGTCTACGCAGACAAGCACCACCAGAGCTTCGCCGCAATCAACATCATTCACCACGTAAAAATGCGTTTTTCTTTTTTTTTTTTTTTTTTTTTTTTCCAAAGCGAACTCGGCAAGAGAAGCAAGAGGGTTTAGACCCTGAGTATCTCTAAAATTGTTCAAAATAACAAGATTACGGTTGAACACCAAAGTCGCTAAAAAAAGTCGCTAGCCGCTAAATTAAAAAAAGTCCGTCGCTAAATGTATAAAAAAAATAGCTAAATCTAGCGACAAAATCGCTAAAATGTCAACACTGCTTGGTTGAATTGCTAATATTCCCCGAGAAAGTGAGGGAGAGAAGGACACCAAAACGCGAGGGGGTCGCCAGGAGGATGAACTCTGATTGGAATAATAAGTGGGTAGACCAAGGCAGTTAGCTTTAGGTCTACCCACTAATTGATCCAATCAGAGCTGGGCGTTCTGACGTTTCCATGCACTCTCGTCCCTTTCTCTCCATCACCTTGTAGGTTAATGTGACTTGATTTTGGTTAATTGTTCCTAGTAAACGCGCCGGAGAACTTTCCAGAATTCCTAAGTGGCGGCGAAGCAGCGGTGACCGCGGCTTGGGGTGGGGGGCGGGGGGGGGGGGGGGGGGGGGGAGAGAGAGGCGCAAGAGAGGCGGAGCAATGGGGCGCATAGGTAGAGTACATGCCGTGGGTGTGAGAGAGGACACGGTTATGGGGAGGTGGCGATACCGTCTCAGCGATGGGACGGTGCGCGCTCCGCGATTATGTGGGGTGGGTTTTTTGCGTACGGACGACGCACGATTTCGCTGGAAAGTTGCATTATAAAAGCCGTAGCCGTGAAGTAACACTTTTTACACACGAAAATACCATCGGCGGCGCGATCATCACCCCAAAAAATTCCACGTGGCCAAAGGTCAGCGCCGATTGCATTTAGTTTCTGGAATCAAACATATTTTGGTTTGGATCATTTTCAAGAATCACTTGGCGGATAGTAAGGGTTGGGAAAACGGATTTCAGTACATCATATAAGTGCTCCTCTCATAGTGTAGTCGCCCATGGACACATGGATATGTCCTCCACGGTGTTGCATTAGTTAACTGCGGTTCAAAAAGGCGGAATGAGCGCCAATGTTTAATACTGTTCATATTTTGATCGCAGACACTTCGTTTCCTGATGACGAAGTTGGACGCCTACAACGCCACCATGGTGCCACCTCTGTTTCAGCCCGAGGACCCCAGAGCATTCCCCGAATATCACGGCGGCATCTGGTCTCCGTGGCTAGATTAATCGTAACTCTAAATTCTAATTTTATAAATAGGCTAAGAACTGATCCTATACAATATCTCATTTAGTGTAATGGAGAAATTCAAATTAAGCACATTCAATGTTTTTAAAAGCGCCGTATATTGTGTTAGGCATTGCTAGAAAAAGGTCCAGTTGACTATGTATATTTAAGTAATTGGCGTGGTTTCAATTGTCGCCCCTTCCCGTTCAGGGCAGACATTATTCGCAGTGCGCACATCTTGAACCAAGACATAATTGTACCTTAAACAATGCTCACAAGAAAAAAAAAACGGAGGGTATTTTATGTTATCCCTAAGACAGATTTGAAGGCGAAAGCCCGAGCACCGATGCATTAAAGACAGACTTAAAGAGAGACACATGACTTACGATTGCGGCGGTACCCCTCCGCCCATGGAGAAGGGTACCATGTCGGACTACTCAACGAAAGGTCGCTGGTTCGAGGCCTGCCGAGGAACAAAAGCGAGAAGTTTTTTTTTTTTTTTTTTTTTTTTGTTGATGAATATTGATAGGGACTTTAGAACAGCGCACGCTAAAGCTTTGCGTATGTAGAGAATACCGTCGTCGCCACTGCGCATGCGCCGAACACTAGCCACGTTTTGCGCTATGCGTGCGATATTTTAGCGTACGCTATTTTCGGAAATTGCCTGTCTACGCGAACTGTCTTCGCACCCCCAAGATGGATTCGTAGTGAGAAGTTGGAAGCTAAGACGAGCAGGGTTAAAAATGGCGGCTCCCAGGACCATGGCGGTGTCGTGAGCGTGACGTCGGCGGCATCCTCGCGACTGCGAGTTTTAATACGGGACGATATTGCACTCGGTTTGGAAAACCCGGTAAGGGGCAACGATCACCTGCGACGCACGAACATTTATCGGAGAAGGTACGGTGTGTGAAGGCCAGTACACGAGACCCCTCTTGCTGAGGCAACGCAGGCGGACACGACCGGTCGATCGCATGCATCGCATTTTCATCTTTAAACAAATCTAAAATGGTACTCTGGACCCACCAAAAACATTGTTTTTTTTTTCCTCAAGTTATAGTACGTTGTGTGTGAAATAAAAATTGTGGCTATCTTGGGCTTTTGCTTGGGCTTTTGCGTCACGGCGGAGAAACGCTATTCTAAAACTCTCTTACGTAGCGTGCGCTAACGCAAACGCTAAATCTAGCGCTAACAGGTAACGTGCGCGAAAATTGCGTACGTTATTCTAAAACTCCCTAATATTCGCAGATGTCACGTAAACGTTATCCTAAACCCCCTAATATTTGCAGATGTCACGTAAACGTTTTGGTACCTTTCTTGAAGCCGACGTGTTTTCGCTGAAGGACTGAACGATGAGAAATATAAGGCTTTCGCCTTGAGGCTTCATTTCAGTACGGTCATTGATGGCAATTAGAATGAGAAGAAGACACAGCTGCGCAGTAAAAAATAATTAGAAACCAGGGTCTGCTTGCTAGAACAGCATCTCCGCGGATGCTGGGTAAAAGAAAGCACTGCAAAGTCTGGGACGCACGAGCGTCTGGTGACGCGGTTTGAGTCCCGCTTAGTTTGTTCGCTGGCTTTGGCAGTACTTTGTTGGCCCCAGTCTCAGCTGAGACGCTGTTTCTAGCAAGCTGGCCCAAGTGCGTGTAGTAGCAGAAGACCTACCGAGGTCAAACTCTACGCAAATTGAAAACACACACACACACACACGCACACGCACGCACACGCACACGCACACGCACAAACACAAACACACACATATATATATATATATATATATATATATATATATATATATATATATATATATTAGAGCCCATCCACTTCACGTGAAGTAGGAGGACCGGCTTTACGAGAACTTTACGACAACTTTAAGACGACTATACATCTATGCGATTTACATATGATTGCGATGAAGACACGTGCACGACTTCGTTGTTTAGTTGTCTTTATTTAATCTTTAGGGACTAAAGTGATCATTGCCTTATGGTCACTTATGGGAAGTTCTAAACCCAATTTTCGAGGCACACCTCGGGGACAGTTTTTATTCGATAAGCGCTTGCCTCCCAGTTTTCAGAGTGGGGGGCAAGGCATATGTTCTGCCCCCGCCCCCCCCCCCCCCCTAAACAGCCGCCACTGGCAGGGCAATCACTGGCCGACGGCGCCCAAGGGATACCAAGGGCACCACCCCACGGCCCAGAGAGGGAGAGGGGGGATCTCCCCCGACTCAAAAACAAGTTGGTACGCCATTGAAGCAAAGCAAAATATCGACAACAGCTTCGGAATGAAACAACATCCAGCATTGGTACACTCTCAATTATTTCAGGCGTTACAGACGGCAGCTGTCCTAACTATTGTTGTCGCCTCTACCACACCGCAGCAGTCTATCAAAGTGAATGCACTCTTGGTAAATTCGTCAAGTAGCAAAAAGTGACATCCTGGCACGGTCGGGCAACTGCAGATGTCGGGGAGCTGACATTGCAGAATGGTGGGTGTAGCACTCTTCGGGGAATGTGACGCGTCCAGATCAAGATCCTTTTCACTAGTCCGAGACTTGGTACAAATTACAACAAGGATCATGACCGAAGTAACCTGTATCATTCATTAGAACACTGTGATCCAAAAATATTTAGTAACTAGTTTAAGCTGAAAACCTGACCAGGGACCATCATTCTCAGGGACGGTTTTTATGCTATATTCACTGTCTGACAGTACTGTCCCATCTAGGATTTCTTCTATTACACATATATTCTCAATGTCGCTGGCGTGCTGTAAGCATTTAGAAGTTGAAGTAAAAATAGAAGTATATAGATGTAGAGCACTGCGAAGACCCTAATATTGGGGTATATCAAGCAAGCGTGCGTCGAAATAGTACTAACCGGCGCAATTTCACTGCAAGGAATTTAGCTTAAAATGAACTATTCCACAGCAGCTATTTTGCAGGATGCAACTGAAAGTTAGAAGGTACGGTAAAAGCACCACCCGTTGTACGTCATAAATATATTTGGACGCATCACAGACGTGCATAGCGCACTCATTCTTTATGCACAGCTGTGCACAGGCAGTTTACGCTCTCAGATACGCATACGTCAAGCAAACGTTCGTATTATTACTGTTATTATTAGGAGTACAGCGAAACAACGCAACAAATATACGGCAATGTGCTTTCCTTGTGCTCTCTGCACACAGCTAAATAACTCACGAAACAGAGTACGAAACGTCGGAGAAGAATTACACATACCGTGGTGGCAGCGCGATAACGCTGGACACCCGATAACCCATTTACAGATGTTAGCACGGTTGTTAACCAAGTACACGGTCCACGGGGATATCGACGAGTCCCTACATCAACACGGCACGTGGTATGTGCATTCCTGAGACGAGCAGCAACGTTGCGCGTTTCGCTGGAATTCACAATCAACGTGGTAACGACACGAACCAACGCACACACAACCACAGCTTTGTTTGCATAAAGGTAAAACTGTAAAACGAGCACGACCAGGCAAGGCACAAGCGCTGCCGTCGCAGCCTCGCTGGGCTCGCCATTGTGCTTTGACGACGAGCTAAGACGCTTCACACTGAAGCGTCTTTTGCCAATAGCAAATACTCCTAAAACATTCCCTATTGATGTCACAAACACTAGTAAACGTAACTGAGCTTTGTTCCTGGTATAAAAGGCAGCAATTACTAAAACTAGACGAAGCCTATCGATTTTATGCCGAAAGAGAACGTTGGCTGACTCGCACCGTTTTGAGACTAAACAGCAAGGAAACGAAACGTCAATGTGTTGTCACCTGCAGTGGGGGCGGCGCATTTGGTTTACCCGAACGCACTCATCTAGAGTGGCATAGCCATCCAGCTGAGTGCCACCTTGATTGCGTGGGAAGGTACTTTCGACGCGGCCTTCCCAGCGCTTTTTTTTTTTAACAGTCCTAATTATAAGGCCATTCCATATGGGCTCTGGCGATCTCAATCTTTTTTTTTTTTTTCAGATTCTATTTTTGTACACTCCATTCATTTCTTGTAGCAATCTCACATTCTCTGATATGCTTGAGATAAATGTGGTCACACTTTTTAAGACCTTTTGCTTGTTATTGTTTCTATTTAACGCTCATATTTGGCTCTTTGTATTACCAATTCGCTTTCTCACAATGTGAGCTCCTTTACAGATTGTATTGCTCCTACAACCTCGTGGAGTAGAGGCTTCAATCAATAGATTACGTCTTCGAGTGGCTTTCACAGGGAAGTTCCCTCACAAAATCAAGGAAACCGTCAGTCCGCAAAGTACAATATAAAACATTCCGGAAACCGTAGAACACCTACTCAGTGTATTCTCCTTTACAAGCCACCGAAACACGCGTTTTCAGAACGACACTCTCAAGCATGGATGGTACACCCGTTACCGCTGCGGAAGTGCTCGGCGGTTTCTAGCAAATTTTAGTGTCCGTTAAGGCAACCAACGTGAATATTTTATTTTTTTGCGAGACACAGGACTTATCTCATTTCATCTTGCCAATTTGTTTCCTCCTTTTCACCTTTTCCCTTTTCGCCCAGTGTAGAGAGTCATGCGCTTAGGTCAGCCCCTCTGGCTGTCAATGATAATTTTACATTCTCCCCTTTCCTATGATATAAAAAAAAATCTAAAACAAGAAAACTGACAATTAAAGGGCGCGATACGCGAATTACAACACACACTAGTACCAGGGTATTAAAAAAAAAAGTTACAACTGATTGACAGACCTTCGGGAAACAAACACCGGAGGAAAGTCAAACTCTTACGGTCTAAGGGTACATTCTAAGAGAGGGTGTTAACATTCCCGAATAGACTGTGTGGCTTGCTTAAAGGGCGGTGCAACTTATACAAAGCGGCAGCACCCTCAGCTGTTTGCACCGCTGAGGGGCAGCGAGATCATTGGAGTTTCGTGGTTAGAGACCGTGAAATCTGATGAAGTGTAGAATAATGTTGCCACACTATGAAGATTCCTGCATTGACGAGATAAGCGTG